CCCCTCTCTCTCTCTCTCTACAACACAACTCACCAAACGGCGTGACCAGGGGACAGGGGATGCTGTTCGACACAATGATGGCCACAATACACAACATCCAGGCGTACTGGATCCCATACTGGAAGTCCCAGATGGCTGACTAGGTCACACACAGGTCACAGGTCAGAGGTCACACACAGGTCACAGGTCATAGGTCACCACAACCATACAGAGAGAGAAAGGAGAAATTATTTGTGTCAACACGCGGCTGAATCAGGCGCTTGCCAATTTTTGGGCATGCAGAGTTATTGATATCAAGGCAAATGAAAAAAAATACCCATCAAGCTTGAATCGAAGTCGAGATATTTGCAATTGAAAAGAGTGGGGTAGTCTGGCTTCAGTGATTAAATTAATGAGAAAATGGCAAGAGTGAGGTGGGAGAGGGAGAGGGGGTGGGGGTGGGGGGTGTAAGGATCATTTTTAAAACTATATTCTTTGTATTTCTGCAAAGTGCATTGAGTACTCTTTAGTGGAAATGCACTATATATAAATATAATGCATTATTATCGTCATTATCAATAAGATCATCATTACCTTCCTGACGGCCGCCCTCTCGGCCTGGGAGCGGCTCAGCAGCAGTTTGATGCCGTACACAAACAGCTCGGAGAAGCGCAGCAGTTCCAGGGCCGTGCCGATGAAGGCCGCGGTGATGACATAGTTCACGAAGAAGGAGCCGTTGCTTGGCAGAAAGATACATCTGTGAAGTAGGAACAAAACTTTGAGGTGTAGAAACACATCGAAATAGGAACAAAACGCGGTGGTGTAGAAAGATACATCTGTCAGTTAGGAACAAAACGGTGTGATGTAGAAACACATCAAAATATGAACATAACACTGTCATGTACACACACTGAAAAATGAACAAGACATTGTCATGTACACAGACAGAAATATGAACAAAACACTGTCATGTACACACACAGAAATTGAACAAAACACTGTGACGTACAGATGTCTCCGGTATTAGAGATAAGTCAACATTACATTTCTCTGAGACACTGTTTCCCTTTCAGCCGTCAATAAATCTACTAGACCACAGTTTTAGAGCTGTGCACCACTCACACAGCCAACTTAATACCACTGGACTGAACTAAGCTAACAGAGACATTGTCGAGATCAGCGAAGCTGTTGCTCAAAATATATGGTCGAGATAAATAAACAACCGAGAATATAGGGTTGATTGAAAATATCACCTGAGATTATAGGGTAAAGCTAGGTTAAATTAATCAGAGGTAATTTAGTAAAGCTCAGATAGTATCCAAGATAATAGGGTACCTAAGCTAACTAACAATCGAGATTATAGGGTTGAGAACAGCTAATGCCAAAATTACAAATTTGCTAAAACAGGGTTATTTTCCCTTTAATCTGATCCCCAGCAACAGCCAGACAAGCAAAAACAACAAAATAGACTTACTGCCAGCGCATCTTCCTCTCCTTGTCCACGACAATCCACTCAAACAGCGCACGCGCACTGGAACACACAGAAACAGGAATGTTCATCATCACAATTTCTGAACTCACCCACACAGACATGTAAAAATAATGTCCCACAGAGTTGAAATCAAAACTATAGTGTACCGTACTGCTAGTGTAAGTCTTTCTGCCCCACCCCATGCTATACGAAAGATATCTGTGTGAATCCAGGATCTACCATCGACGGGAAAGTACCCCACCAGGTGCAAAACAGTTGGTCAAAACAGGTGGTCACCCATCTGTTGTACATGAATTGTGCTGTTGATGAAAATAGGTCAACTTAAGTTAAGATAAGATAAGATGGTACTTTATTATCCCAGAAGGAAATTTTCCTTGGCTGTACAGGACCATAAAAACACATACAGGTACACATTTTAAAAAAACAACAACCTATTTTAAGATATCTTTATCTTATCTTAAACTAGGTCAACTTTCTGATGTTTCTGGAGTATTCTGTACACCCACCATCTTTTTTAAATCTGATTTAGGCTAACATCAAAGACAGCATGTAAGAACTTTACTTTTCAGTGCCTTCCTTCATGGGCTTATATATTCTGCTGGTCACTCAACTTTTAAGCCACATGTAAAGACCTAAGAGGACTGAATAGAGCAACTCGTTTTTATCCTGTTTTAACTGCCAACAGATAAAAGTGAACAAGCTATAAAGAGAAGAAGAGAAGACACAGCATATCTAAGAGACACAAACA